ATTTATTCATCATTTTTTGTCGTTATTTCATTCTAATGTAGATAGATATGTTTATATGTTTCTGTCGCAGATACTATATATTTGTTTACCACATATTTTCTTGTCTTGGTAGTTTTTCCTTTATTTTTTGAGAATTCATATAAGTGGTTCCATCCTAGTTAGAAACACAATTCTATTTCAACAAGAATGCAACTTTAACTTGATTATTCCTCTGAATTGTAGAATTCCAGTTTTCGAGAAGAAATGTCAACCCCAATATGCATTTCTTGCAACTAATATACTTCCAAACAACCATACACTCCCAAATTTTCTCCTCTTATAAGTGACCCTTGCCTAAATAATGATGATTCTTGTCCTCCGTTAAATAATGAAGCAAGCAATGCTCCTCCTGTGATGGGAAATATTAGGTAACCTTCTCCACCTCATGTTCTTGCTTAAGTACATCCAGATTTTCTGCCAATTTCTCCATCAAGAGTTGCAGATCCAAGACCTAGGCCAACAAAACCTTTTCAGGATGGGATGATTGGCTCTAATTCCTATCAGTGTTTATATATTGTAGGTTTTGTGTACTGAATTTTGATCATAATTCTGATAACACAATTCGCACAGTTTTTGGCAATTTCTATTTTGATTACAATTTTATGCCTACATAACATTTTATGTTGATTTTTTATTATTGCTGAACATGATGCTAGTTTCATTTAACTTTCATTACAGCCAGTAAAAATGATGGATGATTTTTTGAGATTGGCACGAGAAAATACTGCAAAAAATTTAGAAACATGTGGTGTTCTTGCTGGTTCATTGGTAATTGGTACAAGATTTGTGAATACAAAAATAAAATGATAACTATGTTTAGATATTTTATACTTGTGGTTACTTATTTACTTGATCACATTTTGTAGAAAAACCAGGTGTTCCATACCACTACACTGATAGTCCAAAAGCAAGAGTCAAGATAATTTTTCTGTAGTGTGTTAATTACTGTGGTGCTATTATTTCTCCCCTGCTTTCTCTTCTCTTTTTTTTTTTCTTTTTAATTTTAAGTCTTGTATATTTCTGTCTTGATATTTTAGCTTTGTCAGTTTTTGATGTTGTCAACTTGAAACTAATGAATAGCTAATTGCAAATCGAGTACAACTTTGGTATTTTTTTGGTAGAAATAAGATTCTATGATTAAGTGATATGATATCTAAAAATGCCAAAATAGTCCCATTTTCCATTTTGATATATTTATCATGCTTTTGAACCGATACAAATGAAGCAACATTCCTTACTAGTTAATGTGTCCTAAAATGGAGGTGAGATGGTTATGAAAGAAAGCAATTTAAGTTAAGGGTTTTGATGAAAATAGTTTTTGATAAGTTGCAATTTTAAAACATGGGCAAAATATCGTGGTTAGTCTCTTGATATTTGAAACAAAAATAATAGTAGAATAAATTTTTTGTTGTTGTTGTTGTTATGAAAACACTTAAAGTCTGAGGGAACTCTCAGTCATAGCCGTTCCACAGCAGTGGCATCAAATCTTATAGAAAGCTTTTGTATGTGTCATCGATGTCGAGTCAGCAGCATGTCATGTAGTGTCCATGTGGGCCATTGGTTTCACGATGGAAGTTTTTTATTTGTAACTACTGATAATTTGAATGATACTTATCAATACATTTTTTAATGTTCAATGTCAAACCTTGAATGAAGAAGAAATTTTTGAAGTCCAAGACAAATATTCGCTTTTTCCTTCTGGGTGGATCCATGTAAGTGTTTCAGTACCTTGAGGAAGGAAAAGCATCAACTTGAGAGCAGGAAAGAAAGCTGCGGCTGTATCTGTGTGGTTGTTGCTAGTGCTGTTTGTGCAAGGCTTTTCTTGGGTTTATTCTCTCGTTTTGCTTGCCTTTTCTCTCTTGAAGGTTAGTGTATTTTGTATTGTTTTTGGCTAGTCTATTGAATGTTCTTGTTTCCTCATGTGGCAAACGAACATTCCTTTGTGTGGTTTATTTTAGGATGATTCTCTTTATAGTTTATTTAGTTTAGTCTATCTGTTTGGTTTTGTTTCTCTTTTATAACTCTAGTTTTTTTAGTCTGCTTTTGTAAAGCCTAGGGAATGCCCCTTCTATATCTCTAATGTTTTTCTTGTTTATTTTCTTTGCAGATTGGTTTTTGATGATGTTTGGAAGCATACTTGCAAATCAAGATCAAGTTTTGAATTTTTTTTCTTGAACTAATAATTAGTTCTAGTTGCAAATCAAGATCGAGTGTTATTTATTTTTATTTTTTTTGTGGACTCCACGATAGTTCATTTTAGAATTTGCTATGATGGTTTTTTTGTTATACTTAATGGTTTATATTATTAAAGTTGTTTGATGGATATATTTTGATTTATAATATAAATTGTTTAGTGAATTTTTTTTGTGGAGTGATGTATAATAGCTAGTGGATTTCTTAGTACAATTAAAAGGCTATTGGGATATGAGCAGGGATATTTGCGAAATAATAATTGAAATTGAAATTAAAATATAAAATATGGAACAAGTTTAGTGACGAATTTGTTTTGTTATTTGTACTTGTTATTATGACAAAGTGATTATTTGTCGCTAATAAACATTTTTTGTGACAAAATTTATTGCAGCTTATATATGGAAGTTTTCATTGATTTTGTTGTTTGGTGGCGAAATATATTTTGCCACGTATATATATTTGCGACGAAATATATTTCGTCACGTATATATATATATATATTTGCGACAAAGTATATTTTGTCACCCATGTATGACTTTTGGAGACGAAAAATTTCGTCACCTTTACATCTTACTGTGACGAAATTATTTCCTCATCAATGATCAATATGTGTGACAAATTTATTCGTCAACTAAAATTATAAATATGGTACCAAATAATTATTTGGTGACGAAAATGAGAATTTTTGGAGACAAAATGTTGTTTTATTGGTGACAAAAAATTTCGTCACTGAAGTAATTTCATTGGTGGCGAAATTATTTTTTGTCACGGTGGTTTTTAGTGACAAACATTCAATGACGAAACTGGTGATGAAAATGTTTCCTCACAAATATTTATAGTGACGAAATTAGCTCTTTGGAGACAAACAAAATTCGTTATTCAAGACCCAATTTGTTGTAGTGACTTGCAATTTTGTTTTTCAATAATTTTTGGTGGAGATGTAGTGAAAGTGAAAGAAATGTTAGACAATGTGAAAAATTATTTGAGTCAATTGTATGATCATTATGCCACACTTGATTCAACAAATGTGCATGCCTCCAATGTAAATGAAATAGTAGATATGGTAATAAATGAAAATGACCCACACTATATTGTGAACTATCAATTTAACTCATTTTTTGAGGGACAATTTTCTAGTAGTGAAAGTACGTCAGAATTGGACAAGAACTTGGGTGATATTGAGAAAAGTGGGAAGAATGCTCAATTTGACATCTTGGAGTGGTGAAAGGTTAATGCAACAAAGTATAGAGTATTATCACTTATAGCACGAGATGTGTTGGCAATGCATGCTTCCACTGTTGCTTCTGAGTTGACTTTTAGTATAGGAGGTCGTATACTTGATCCATTTCGTAGTTCACTTGCTCCCAAGATAATGGAGGTTCTTATTTGTACACAAAATTGATTTCGAAGTAACATTCCAATATGCCTTCGACAAGTAATGGATGATGTTGAAGAATTTGAATAATATTATGATTCGAGTAATATATACAATGATTTATTTTGTATTATTCAAAATTCATTATCTTCACTTCACATGTTTTTGTTGTGTTTATGTTTTTTGTGTAGTTGTTTCGAAATCAAGTTAATGTTCAAGCACAAGTCCATAGAGTAGTTTTATTGAAATTTAATCTCATTGGTAAAATATTTCTCCTTTGTTAAATGTTGTTAACATATGTTTACTTGTTTTAAATTTAAAACTTTTTAGTGTTTTCTTTATTAAATAATTTCATTTTTTTATTATGCAGGTTTAGATGGCTCATGGTTTGGCTCAAGGAAATGACTGCCTTTTTTTGCTTCTTTTTGAATGACTGTTATACTATTGTTTGGATGCACAATATTTGTTAGATGCAACTTGGATGCACGATGTGTATGAGATATGTCATACAATCAATGACTAACTTTTTTGGATGCACAGTGTACCATCACATTGTGTATGATAATGTAGTCATTGAGATATTGGCTGATCACATTATACCATCACATTGTGTATCAGATATATCATACAATCATTGACTTCACTTTTTTTTTTTTAAAAAAAAAACCCTAGATGACTGTAATTTAGATGCACAATATTTAAAAAAAAAAAAAAAAACCTAGATGACTGTAATTTAGATGCACAATATTTTTCTTATGTCTTTATGTGTAATTTGAATGATTTTTAAATATTTTGGATGACTAGAACTTGTAATACTATTGTTTAGGTGCACAATGTTTGTTGTAATATATTTGATTGAGCACAATTGAATTATGTTGAAAATCAAATTATGCCCAAGTTATTTTTTTAGGAAGTGCACAATTGAATTATGCTAAAAATTTATAAAATTTTAAACCGCCAAACCGATTAGTATTCATCCGTCAATTTACTAATCTGCTCAATTTGCATTCGCCGGATTGACGAACGAATGCGGATTGATTTTTTTCAATTCACCAATCTGGTGGACAGATGACGGATTGAAAATTCCGTGACCATAACCGATTTGCGCCCACCCTTACTAGCAACTGGCGTTCGAAGCCAGTCAACTAGCATTCGGAGCTAGTCAACTAATAAATTTATTTCTTAGTTTCATTTTTTTAATTTAGTAATGCATTAAGAAAATAATTAATTAATAGTTTGAGAGTATTTAATTATTAATCAATTATCTTATTAACACTAAATTTAAAAAATAAATATAATTTTTAAATTTAAATAACAATATTTTTTTTTATTTTTTTTATTTTTTTGTCATCACACGCTCTCATGTAAGGTCTAATTTGTTTGCCGCGTGTGGTTGTAATGAAAACTTCTTAGAAGCCCCCCAAGAATTTCATATTCCACTCACAGGCAAGCCGGTTTGTGATGCAATGAAGGCTTCGTTGAAGACTAGGTATGACACCGACAAACGCGCCGCCGCCGCAACAGTGGCCGTCAAAGCCGGCGACCTCAAGCTCCGAGCTTCCATGACTGACGCCACTGTCGTCAAAGGTCCCAGCTTAAACGGCTTAGCCCTCGCCGTTGAAAAACCCGGCTTCTTCATCATCGACTACAACGTCCCCAAAAAGGATTTTAGGTTTCAGTTTATGAACACAGTTAGGGTTGCAGAGAAACCATTGAATTTGACTTACATTCACAGTAGAGGCGATAACCGGACGATACTGGACGGGACGTTGGTGTTCGATTCGGCGAACAAGGTTTCGGCGAATCACGTGCTTGGTTCGGGGAATTGCAAATTGAAGTATAGTTATGTGCATCAAGGGGTGACCACGTTCGAGCCCAGCTACGATTTGAACAAGAATTCTTGGGATTTTGCTGTGGCAAGGAGGGTTTATGGTGATGATGTGTTTAGGGCTTCATATCAGACTTCGAGCAAGGCGTTGGGGCTCGAATGGTCGAGGAATTCGAAGTTAAATGGGTGCTTTAAGGTATATATATATATATATAAAAAAAAAATCTTGGTGTATGTGTTTCTTGATTGGTTGCATTGAAAATTGAGTGTTTTTGCGTAATTGTCTATTGCTGATTAGATTTGGGCTTTCTAATAAGGGCTTAAATTATTGGGAAAAAAAATTAGAAACTTCTATTTTCATGACAGGGCACATCAGTTTGCAAAGTTAGTTTCTATATATATATATATATATATTGGTGTGAATGTATAGCACTATTCTTTGCTAGTATGCATTAGATCTTTTATGATAGACTTGTGCATTACTTTTGCAAAAACACTCTATTAGATGGAATTTTTTATTAGTTAATACCTCACTGTTCAACTACTTTACTTGTTTTTTTGAATGATGTGACAACTTTCTGTTAAAGGAATGTTGTCAACTTAAATCACGCCTTGCAATCTTTGTAAACAATGCTCATGGATTGTTTATTCAAACCGCAAGTCGATGCCTTTATTCATAGCCTCAAGGTTTGATGAGACTAGGTGATAGAACTTTTAGTATAGATTATTCATATCCTTGAAGTTCATTTGTTTACTTCTTTTTAAGGGAAGATTGCTTGTGCATTGCTGGGATTTCTTTTCTTACAAAGAGAAAGATCCTCTTATAGAGAATAAGCAGAGTGGGAAGATATTAAATTTGTATGTTGGTCCCAAGTCATGATGCAGTGTCGTGATAGGGTCTTTACTTGAAGGATTCAAACTATGAAGGAGCTATATGGTATCTTATGCATTTGTTGGGTTAGTCTTTCATCATTGGCCAGAATTGTAGATGAGACGAAGTTGATATGACTTAATGTTTTCAAGGCTAATCAGTTACAACATGAATGGCGAAGTTAATTATTGTCTGGCATTAGATTGCAACTTGTTTGGCTTATGGATTTGTTTCATTTGTTCCCTAGATATCGTTAACTTGTACAAGATATCATTATCGTTTGACTAGATCTTCTGCCTGTTGATTCAGAAATGCCTGTAACTTTTTTTTTCCCCTTCATTTTTTTAATCTTTATGAACAAGCATGACTCAAGTTTTGGATTATTAGTTGGCTAAAATAATATGAGAGGTCAAAAGCAGATCTGTGAATTTAATGGTGTGCAATTTATTTTTTGTTTAACTGTTAGACCAGCGATGTTGTATGAGATGGAATGTTGGGCAACTAAGAAACAACATATAGATAAGATAAGTGTTACTGAAATGAGTATGCTAAGGTGGATGTGTGGTAAGACTAAAATAGACAAAATTAGGAATGAATATATTCGCAAATGGGTAGAAGTAACACTGATAAAAGATAGGTTGAGAGAGAATAGATTGAGATGGTTTGGTCATATACAACAGAAACCAACAGAGGCAGTAGTGAAGAGATGTGATACAGTGACGGTAGATAGAAGTGTTAGGGGAATGAACAGACCTAGATTGACGTGTAAATAGAGATATGAATCTCCTTAATTTGACTAACCAAATAGTCGATAAAATCGAGTGGAGAAGAAGGATTCATGTAACCAATTCCATTTGATGGGACTCAAGGCTAGGCTTGGTTTAGTTTGATTTGTAAGTACTTTTATGAAATCATTCAGATAACTTTCTTGTACCAGATTGCAAGAGCTCTTGTGTAGAGATTTGTAATGATAAATTGGTCACCTGATCAGATTTGCAACAGTTCCAACGGTTTTTAAGGAGTAAGAAATTAGAAAATTTTGTTTATTCACTAGTCACAAAGATAAGTGATGCAACTACATTGATAAACCAAATAGCGAGCAGGTTAATAGCATTGATGTGTGAAGATGTGTAGAATATCTTGGTTAATGCTTTAGTAGTCCTAAAATAGGAAATACAATAAAACAAATAAAATAAATAGTTAGGTAATGCTCCATGCATTTAGTATGCAAGGGAGCATTCATAGGATCTTTTAGATTATTTATAATAAGTCAAAGATCTTTTTTTCCCCGAGGAAAAAGTTCTCATTTGATGGTTGTTTCTCGAGTTTAGTTCTGCTTCTTGATTTGTCATTCTTTTTTTCTGGCAAGAGATTGTAGCATTATGGAGCATATCCAAGGTTTTGAAAAGCGGTTGTGGTCGCCGTAACGGTGGCGGTGGAGCGGTTGCGGTTGCGGGGTGTAAAGGCCGTAGCATAACGGTTCTGACAAGAGATTGTAGCATTATGGAGCATATCCTACACTTTCTATCTTTTGCTCTTTTACTTGGATTTTTTTTGTGTTTTGAAGCAGACTTTTCTCATGACGGTGAGCACAATTCTTGTTTAATTATAGATTCCCCTTTGGGGAAGATTAGTATCTTTAATTTTTGAAATCTATGTTCATGTTATTGTTTAATCGTGGTGTTGCATTAATTTGTGTGGAATTTCTGGTCTTCACCCTATGAGCTTTTTTTAGCCATTGGTAGCTGACCACATAACACTTTGAACTGTAATGAAAGTTAGACACGTTTATTATTTGGCTGCTACTATATTTTAATATTGCATGACTCATTGTTGTGTGTGCTCAATTCATGTATGGAATACGGTGATGCTAGTCTGAAGAGTCCACACCGAGTGTTTGTTATTCCCAATGTTTACTGGATGAAGTTCCTAACTTTTGGTTTTCCATTTCTCCCAGATTTCAGCTGCTGTCAATTTAGGAGAGGAGCTAATAAAAATGCCAAAGTTAAGTGCCGAGACAACATGGGATTTTGAAATGTGATCTTTCTTTTCATCCCCTGGTTTCATTTGCCTGTTGTGATCATTCCAATTTGGACAAACTATCTGGCTCTATAACCCCCAAGGCAGAAAAGACCTATACTCCTGAACATCAACTTTTGCACTTGTATCTTTTATATTTATGGTGAGCTGATTACCTTGCTACAGCCGTCTCCGTAAGCATTTTTTTTTAACATCAAAATGTTCTTCTCATTCTTACTTGTGAACTTTTGGTCTCTATTGTTGCAAAATGTTGCAGATGATTTTATAAACATTGGCTCAGTATCCTCTACATTTTCTATCAATACAATTCTTATGTTCGGAAACCTCTTCTGTTTTTGTGGAGCCTGGTTTGGGTTTTTACTTTCTTGCTGGTACTTTTATCCATGTCATGACCTGGTCTGATTTTTGGTTTCTTGTATAACAGAAAACATGCGAAAACAGTTTGATTCCTAGATTATTTTTTGGGCATACAATGTCGTGATAAGAGGCAATTAGTAATATCACGAGAGATAATGAAAGAGATTGTGTGTACCATGGAATTAGTTATATTATAATGGCCTGTTTGATTTTTGAATTATTTTTGGGGGATTTATTGCCATGGTATTGTGGTCAGCATTAAGTGATTATAAGATAAAAGGAACAGCATGGAATATTGGGTGAGATTATATCTCTCTCTCTATTCTAGAAGCCAAAGCATGGGGAGGCTGGAGTGCGCGGAGGGTGAGCGGACTGCAGGGGAAGTATCAGCCAATGATAGTAGGGCTGCAAACGAGGCAAACCGAGTGTTAGTATGTTTAGATTTGTTTATTAAGATTTTAACGAATTCAAGTTCGAGCTTGAGCTTCATAAAAATTTAATGAACTGAGTTTAAGTCGAGTTGGTTTAAGTTTGACTCAAGCTCAAACCTGTTCATAAGTCCTAACGAGTTAAAAAAATTATAAATTTATACGTGTGTATGAGAATTTATAATTAAAAGTTTGATTACATAATTATATATATAATTTATATGAATATTTTAAAAAAGAATTCAATATTTTATCAAAATAATAATATCTACTACCATTATTATATAAATGTACTATTTATAGTTAACTATTATTTGTATTTATATTTTTTAAATATACAAATAACATATTTATTTTATTTTTTATATATATTTTTACATTATACATATTTTTACATTATTTAACATACAAATAATAAATATTAAACGAGTCGAGTTTTAAAATGTTTGGACTTATTTAGCCTCTGTTTGGCAAGTTAGTTTTCAGGCTTTTTTGGCTATTTTAGCCACAAAAAACAAAATAGGCTATTTTAGTCATAACAAACAAAACATCACATCCAACCTATAATCATTACATTCTTCTCTCACAAAAAAAGTCAAAAAAGCCAAAAAGCCAAAAAGCTCTTCCCAAACCAAGCTTTTTAGCCCAGGCTAAAATAGCTAAAAAAGCCAAAAAGCCAAAAAGCCAACCTAATTCCCAAACCAAGCCTTAGTAAAAATTTAATGAGTTCGAGCTTGAATTCAAATGTAAAAAATAATAATAATAATTTAACGAATAGAGTTCGAACGAGTTCTTATCGAGTCAAATTCGATTTTGTTCACGAAGAATTCTATTCATTTGCAATCTTAAATGATGGCTCTGATGAGGAAGGCTGGCAGAGGTGAAAAGGAGGTGGTGATGGGTGGTGGGGTTAGGTTAGTGTTTAGAAAAATAGTGTGAAAATGGTTAAGGATGGAACAAAAATGAAATTTTCTGAAAATTAAAAAAATGAAAAATGTGAGGGTCTAAGGCTTCGTTTAGAAAGTTAGGTTGATTTTTTAATTTTTTTTGTTATTTTTATCTAGGTTAAGAAGTTCGTTTGGTTGGCGTTTTTGGTTTTTTTAAAATTTTTGTAAGAAAAAAAATAAAATAATTATGATTTAAATATAACATTTTATCTTATTAATTTTTTAATCTATTTTATTTTTTTAAAACTAATTTAGCCGAAAAGTAAACTAAATTGTCAAACGCCACCTAAGAAGAAAGGTTGGGCAAAGTACTATTAATTAAATTCAAATTCTATTTTAAAATAATGACTTTCCTAAAGTTTGAAAAACAAATGAGAAATAAATGCAAAGGTATTTTGAAGTGTTTGACAATTTATATAATAAAGGAGGATGATTTTTAAAAATATATTAAAATGTATCAGAGATACACTTCATTTAAACAGTTAAGATGATTTGTTTTTAATCATTTACGGCTGAGATGCTTTTGTGACATTTTCAACTTCCCGTCCAAAACAATCCCTTCTCTCTCTCTCTCTCTGCAGCGTCCCATCCACCTACGACAAACCCAAACATATTGCACCACTTCTCTCTCTCTCTCTCTCTCTCTCACTTCTCAGGTCTCAATCTCTCTCTCCTCAAAGATCTCTCTCTTTTCCTCTCCCTTCCCCTACTTTCCACTGCTGCTTCGCTTCTACCGTTATGCCACCTTCGATCTCCACCGACAGCAACTTTTCATCTCTTCTCCCTTCCAGATCTCAAATCTCAGATCTTCTCTCTCCTCCGATCTCCACTGACAGCAACTCTTCTCTCTAATCTAACCAGTCTAACAAGTTTTCAGCTTGATTCTTAACTTTGCTCTCTACTCTCTCTATAGTACGATTGTATATGTATATAAATATATTGACTAACTCTAATATTTTCTATCTGTGAAATCTTCAGAATCCCCATTTGAAGGTAATTTCACATGCTTCCAACTCAACCTTTCTTTCTCTTAGGCTTTTATCATTTCTAAATCTATGAATGGGTTTTGTGAGTCTCCATCCTCCACAATCATGTCTTCCCAAAGTAAATCTCTAATTTTTTTTCTTCCATTTCATTTATTGTTTTTTTGTTTTTGTTTTTTTTAATTGTTGGGTTTTGATTGTTGTAAAATAGTAAATCTCCAATTTTTTTCATTTAATTTTTTATTTTCTTTTATTTTTTTTTAATTGTTAGGTTTTGATTGTTGTGAAATAGGATGATGATTGACTATAACGTGGAGACGATCAATGATGGTATGTAAGAGTTCTATGTGGATTTTTATGGACCCAAAGACAGTAAATCATTTATATCCATCTCTGATTTTTTTTTAAATTTTTAATTTTATATTTTAATAGGCGGTTAATGGCTGTTATAATTTTTATTTTTAATTTTAACTGGTGGTTAATGGAATCATTCAGAAGGATCACCCCAGGTTTGTGGCTGCGATTATAACAGCAGGTTAATGTATTTCACTGCTTTGCTAACTCATCAATGTATGAAAAGTTTGCTATGCTAATCAAAATTTGAAACATGGACATTCTTCTATAATTTATTTGTTATAATAATTTTTTTCAAATCTAAAATTTCGTACACTTACTATAATGGTAATTCTGTTGCGATCACGCATATAAATAAATAACAACAGGTTAATGTATCTCTCTCTCTCTCTCTCTTATTTGTTGTGGGTTTTAGTGTAATTTTGAAGGAAGATGTGGCTTGGTTCGATTCATAAAGGTGGTTCAGAAAGCAGGGCTATGTGTTCTTCTTTGCATTAGGCCTTATGTTTGTGCAGAGTGAAATTTTGGGTAGTCACATTTCTGGTTATGTATTTTAAAGTTTTAATCTATATATATTTGATGAGCTTTTGAGATCCAGGTTTTTTTAGAGTAGATTTTTGAGATTCAAGTTTTTTTTTTTTTAAATGTTTGATTTTGTTTTTCTTTTGTGTTTTTAAGGGTTCTCCTATTTGGTTGAAGTATGTTCCAGGCATCAATTTCAAAACAGATAATAAACCTTTCAAGGTCTCTCTCTCTCTCTCTCTCTCAAAATTTTTTAAATTAAACCACTACCTTAATAGATAATTATTGATATTACAGACAGAGATGCAAAGGTTCACCCAAAAAATTGTCCAAATGATGAAGGATAAGAAGTTGTTTGAGTCTCAAGATGGTCCTATCATCATCTCCCATGAGTGGCTTTTTATGTTTCTTTGTCTTTTTATATTTGCTGTGTTATGGTGATTTTTTCATAATAAAGTTTATATTTTTGTCTGAATTTGTATATGATACAGTGGAACAAAATAAATATCATTCTAGAATGGGTGTTTCCATAATAAAGTTTACAAGCTACTCCTCAGATCCTTCTCAAATCCAATTAATGGTATTATCTCTCTCTTGTTTTGGTTTCTATGTGTAACAACCCTCGTCACTGTTTACTGATTAACCACTGATTACCATTAAACTGAACTGATTATGAATGATAAGTGAACTGAATAAACTACTGAACTGACCGACTGAAATTGAAACTGAATTGACTGAGTATACCTGTTTAATTGTAATTCTATCTGTTTGGTTATTTGATTATCTATTCGTGCTTTTATGTTTAAATTGCAAATTGAAGGCCTTATCGGCGGCCGAATCCAAAATTGATTGATGATTTGTGATCCTTAGAATTAATGTGATTTTATGGTATATTTATCTGAAAACTGAATCGGTATGATTAAATTAGGTTAATTATTGAGAAGTTACATAGTTTGACTTAACTACAACTTTGCCATTTGAGTGGGCCACTACACCAAACCTTGTCTGAGGCTTAGTCTTGCATTACAAACATTTGCTCAGCTATTATTCTTGAGTGTATAGCCGACTAGAGAGGGAGAATAGGGAGTTAGAGTGAATTCATCTTGAATTGCTTGGAATCTTGAAGAAGTTGTGAGAGATTTGCCTTCTTGAGCCTCCATACCTCTAATTCAAGACTTGGGTAAGTAATTTCAACCTCTCCTTGTTGTATTTAAGCTTGTTCATGCGTGGTTCTTGAGCCTTTAGTGATTTAAGTCAAGTTTTGGTCTCATGATGTTGAATTGGAGCCTAGTTCATGCATGCATGCCTTTACTTTGAAGTTTTGAAGTTGTCCTTCATGAAATTGTACATGCATGCTCATATTTTTACAATAGACCATGTTTTCACCTTGTCTTTGAAAGAATTGGCTCATTAGAGTATGAAATTGAAGCTTGAAAGGTTTAAATTCATGCATGTTTGCATGTTCTTCATATTCATGGAAATTGGTTTGAATTGGATTTATTTGAAACACCCTTGGGCTTTGATTTTACAAATTGAGCTTTGAATCAAGGTTTTAAAAACCGGACAGGACCGGCCGGTTCAACCGGTTGAACCGGTGACCGGATGGGGTTCCAGTCCGGTCAACCCTCCTAAACCGGCCAACATAAAAAATCGGGATATTTAGTGAAAACCGTTCAACCCACCGATTAAACCGGCGAACCGGTTGAACCGATCACGGGTCAATCAAACCGGTCC